GGTGCGCCTGGAAGCTGTCGTGGAGCCTTTTTGAGAGCCTCTTGGGGTGTCGGGGGTCGAACTTGGAGGTGCACTAGGCCGCCGTAGGCCTCGTGGAAGCCGAAGAGGCGAATGTACTGAACATGTATGTTTTTTTTTCTTGAGGGAATGGGGCGATTTTTGCTTCTGGAGGCCCTTTTGCAGCGCCTCGTGGACGCGTTTTCACACATCTTGGGGGCCTATGGGGCCGTCTGGGGGCAATCTTGGGCGGTTTGGACCGAATCGTCCCCCGCGTGGGCCGTCTGAGGGGCCTTGGGGACCCCGTTGACCTGTTTTGGAGGCCTCTTGGGACCGTCCTGCGGCTCTCCCGGGCCGTTGTTATGGTGTCTGGGGCCTTCGTGGATCGCCTGGAAGCCGCCGTGGGGCTTTTTTGGGAGCCTCTTGGGCTGCGGAGGGTCGATCTTGGAGGCTTCTTGGGCCGTCGTGGGCCGCGTGGAAGCCCAAGAGGCGAATGTGCTGAACATGTACGTTTTCCCTGGGGACTACTTGGACGATCTTTGCCTCTGGAAGGGCCTTCATGGGGCGCCTCGGAGTACTTTTCAAGAGTCTTGGGGACTGATGGGGCCGTCTGGAGGCAATCTTCGGCGTTTGGACCGTTCCAGGACCCTTTTGAAGCTTTTTGGCCCGTTTGGGGGCCTCCTGAGGCTCCAAGGAAGGAGGAAGGAGGAAGGAGGAGGATGAAGGAGGAAGGAGGAAGGAGGAAGGAGGAAGGAGGAAGGAGGAAGGAGGAAGGAGGAGGAGGAAGGAGGAAGGAGGAGGAGGAAGGAGGAAGGAGGAAGGAGGAGGAGGAAGTGTGCGGCCGGCACCTTTGCCCCCCCCCCCCCCCTCCAAACCGGCCGGGCTGGGCCTCGGGGGGAGCGGTTTGGGGAGGGGGAAGCATCTCACACGCCGTGATCCCAAGGGGTCGGCGGATTGATGTCCCAAGAGGGGGAGGAATCGGAGGAGCAGGCGGATGAGGGATAGGAGGGGCAGGACGGAGGATGGACCAGGACCATTAGGCGGGTTATGATGATGATAGTGAGGAGGATGAGGATGAGGATGACGACGACGACGAGGCTGAAGATGAGAATGATGATGATGCTGATGCTGAGGAGGGGAATGATGCTGATGGTGATGAGGACGATGAGGATGATTCGGATGGTGATGATGATAATGATGATGGTGATGATAATGCCGATGATGATGACGACGGTGATGACGATGATGGGAATGGTGATGATAACATCGAAGATGATTATGGTGATGCTGATGCTGATGCTGATGCTGGTGGCGGTGATGATGGTGATTGTTGAACTGATGAGGAAATGATGATGCTGATGCTTATGCTGGTAGTTATGATGATGGTGATGATGATGCTGATGATGATGATGATGATGAGTGCGATGGTCATTAAGACTATTATGTTGATGAGGCTGATGATGCTGATAATGATGTTGATGCTGAGGCTGACGATGCTGATGACGTTGATGATGATGATGATGATGATGATGATGATGATGATGGTGACGATGCTGATGATGATGATGATGAGCGTGCTGCTGCTGTTGCCGACGATTGTGACAAGTACAATGCTGATGTTGGCGACTCTGAAGTTGATGATGGTGATGATGACGCTGCAGACGATGATGACGATGATCATGACGTTGACGATGACGATGGTGATAAGGATGGTGCTGATGCTGAAGTCGATGATGCTGATGATGCTGCTGGTGATGATGATGATGCTGATGATGATGCTGCTAACGATGCTGCTGCTGCTGATGATGATGATGACGATGACGATGATGATGATGATGATGATGATGATGATGATGATGATGATGATGATGATGATAATGATGATGCTGATGCTGATGATGATGCTGATGCTGATGATGATGATGATGATGATGATGATGATGATGATGATGATGCTGATGCTGATGCTGATGATGATCATGATCATGATGATTATGATGCTGATAATGGTGATAATGGCAGTGATGACGAGAACGGCGATCAGGATGATGATGAGAAGGAGGGGGAGGAGGAGGAGGAGGAGGAGGAGGAGGAGGAGGAGGAAGAGCAGGCTGGTGGAGGTGGAGGTTGTGGTGGTGGTGGTGGTGGTGGTGGTGAGGGGGAGGATGCGGAAACGCAGGAGGAGGGCGAGCAGAAAAGGCGCGATGACTCTTGGATGGCTCTCGGGGTCGCTTCGAATGTCTCTTCAGAGTTTCTGGGGCCCCTCTTGGCGTCTTTGGGGCCTCTTGGAGCGTCTTGTGCCCCACGGGGGAGCCCCTTGGGGCCTCTTGGTCCCTCTTGACGGTCTCTTGGGAGCTCTTGGGGGCCTCTTTGGAGCCTCTTGCGGCCTCCTGGGCCCTCTGGGTGCACTCTGCGGAGGCCTGGGGGGCCATCTTCGGGCCATCTCGGAGGATATCGATCAAAGAAGGGGGGGTCCTAAATTTGCATCGCCCCTCCACGCCCCCCTAAACGGGCAGGCATCACGGATAATTGCACTCTCGCCGTTGCCATCCAGGTGCAGGGGAGGGCGTGGGGGGAGCGGTACACCCTTCCCCGAAGGGGAAGATGGGGAAGCTGGAAGAGGAAACGCCCTAAACCATTCACGCCCAGATGGCTGATGGGACCACGGCGTACAAGGGTACACACTGCAGCGTACACAGCGTGGGTACTGTGAGACGACGCGGCGTGAAGGACCTCCGAACTGACATAACCCAATAGGAGGAACACGACGGAGCAGGGCATCCAATATCCAACAGGATCTCCAACGATAGCAACTCCGATAACGACTGCAGCACCAGCCACGACGATCCCAACGACGCCGGGAGCACCAACTGCAACGACGATAGCACCGACACCAACGACGATAGCATCAATAACGATGACGACCTGGAACCGTGAGCGGATTTCGTCCGAGGAGCTACGCAGGCAGCCGGCGCACATTCATGCCGAACGTGCACATGTCGACGACTGGATTTCGCTATACTGCAAAACATAGGTGAGATGGGCCAGCCGGGTTGAAACTTTACTTGCGGGCCGATGGGCACGTCCTGCCGCCGTTTGGAAGCCGCCTGCACAGGACAAAAAGCCTAGCTCAACGGAATGACGGCGGACAGCGTAAACGCTGGGTTCATGAGAGCGCATGCAGTTGTTCGGAACAGTGAAACTAATTGGTTGGCCGCGTCAGGAGACTACCTGACGATGCTGGCTGCGAGCGTTTTTGGGTTCTTCTGGGGCGTCCTGGGCCCCTCTGGGGCTCCGTGGTGCGATCTTGGATCCACCTTGACTCATCAGTGGCCAATTGGAAGGGAGACGTCCAGAATGTAAACATCATGTGTTCCATTGGGTTTAGTGCTTTGGTGCTCTCGGGGGCGTACTTGGCAGATTCCGCGGCCACTCGGAGGGGCTTCGGGTGCCGTCTTGGGGTCATCGTGGCCCTCTCCTGGGTCTCTTGGGCGCTGTGAACAAGAAGAAAGCGAATGTGCTGAAAATGCTCGCTTTCCAAAGTGACTGGGGGGTGATGTTTGCCTCCTTGGGCTTTCCTGGGGGTCCTCGTGGAACCTTTTTGGGGCGTTTTGGGGGCCCCTTGGGGCGTTTTGAGGCCGTCTTAGGCGCAATGGAGTGGTCTTGGTCTGTTTTGGAGGCCCCTCGTACCAGTCAAGACGGCTCCAAGATGGCTCAGGTAGATTGGCCTCCGAGATCGCACAAGATAGCCCAAGATGGCCCCAAGCGGCCCCGAGAGCTCCAAAGACGGCCTAGATCAATCCATGTTGCCAACCAGCCGGCGAAAGTTGAACGCCCGCGAGAGGTTGAGCCCTCCAGATGGCGAGAATGTCAACACGGCCCCCCCTGGACGGCCCCCGAGTCCCCCAAGGTGCCCTCAAGACGGGCCCAGGAGGGTTTCCAGATGGCCCAGAAAGCTCAGTGAGAAGCTCAGGAGGGACCCCGGAGAAGCCCAAGACGGCACCCGAGGCCCCCAAGACGCCCCCAAGACGGGCGCAGGAGGGCTCCAGATGGCCCACAAGGCTCAATGAGGGGTTCAGGAGAAGCCCCGGAGAAGCCCGAGACGGCCCTCGAGGCCTCCAGGGCGCCCCCCACAAAACGGACCCAAGCCAGCCCAAAACGGCCTCAGGTCTTTCCACGTTTCGAAAAGCCCAACAAGGCCCACACAAGACGACCACCAAGGTCCCACAGACGCTCCTAAGACGTGTCCAAGAGGGTCCCTAAAACGGCTCCGTGCCCCTTAATGTTGCCGTGCTGGTCTTCCGTGCGGGTCTGCCGAGCTGGTCTGCCGCGCTGGTCTGCCGTGCTGGTCTGGTCTGCCGTGCTAGTCTGCCGTGTTGGTCTGCCATGTTGGTCTGCCGTGCCGGTCTCCCGTGCTGGTTTGCTGTGCTGGTCTGCCGCGCTGGCCTCCCATGCTGATCGCACTCCTCTGTCTGTCTTTCCGTCCATCTTGTTCCCACTGTGTTTCGGTCTTGTGCCCCACATTCGAACCTCATGGATTGAGCGAGGGGGGGAGTCTTGCAGCGTGTGGTAGAGGGATGGGCAAACCCTTCCCGGGAGGGCAAACGGCGGTTGGAATAATGAACTCGCGAATCCATCTACGCCCCAAAGGGATGGTGGGATTACCTCGCGCATTCGGGAACCTCAGATTGTTTTCTTCACAATAATGTTGCGTTTTTTTGTTTTCAAAAAGTGTGAGGATCAGGAGGATGATATGGACAGAGAGTAGAGGAAATAGTCGCCGCAGCCGCCGCCATCGTCGTCGTCGGCGTTTGTCGTCGTCGTCGTTGTCGTCGTCCGTCGTCGTCATCGTCGTTGTCGTCGTCGTCACCCTCGCCGTCGCCGCCGTCACGGTCTGCCGTCTGTCGTCGTCACCCGTTGTCGTTCGTTCGTTACTCCTCGTTGGTCGCTCGTCGCTTGTCGTCGCCGCCGTTGTCGTCGCAGTCGCCGCCCTCGCCGCCCAGGTGGGCCAGCACCGCAACGCGGGGCAGCTGGTGTCGGGCGCGGGCGACCTGGTGAAGGGCGCGGGGTACCTGGTCGCATCGGTGCCTCCGCTCTCCGCTGCGCCCCACCTCGCCGCCGTCGTGGTTACCCTCGCCGTCGTCGTCATCATCGTCGTGGTCGTCGTCGTCTCGCACGTTCCAGTCGTCGTCGTCGTCGTCGTCGTCGTCGTCGTCGTCGTCGTCGTTCTCGTCATCGTCGTTCGCGTCGTCGTCGATGAGGACGGGGAGGGCACGCCGTCGTTTCTGTTAGTTTAACGAGTGCATCATTGTGCCAACGAGGCACGGCGGACCCAGAAAGCTATAGCCAACGGCCAGAAGAGTAATAATCCATAAGGCCCACGCTGCCCGCTCCAAAATGGAAGCTGGAGATACTGAGAAGAGTAGGAATCACTAACGCGCAGAAAGGGGATGGTTAGGAACTGTAGTACTGATAAGAAGAGTTGCGCGATGTCGATGAATACGAATACGATTCGCATGTGTTACGCAACATCGCGAAAGAAAGAGAGAGCGAGATATATATATATATATATATATATATATATATGTAGAGAGAGAGAGAGAGAGAAAGAGAAGCAATATCGCGAACGCTGATACTGTATCGCAGCTGTAATGGTGCCAGCAATATTGTAAGCTCCTGCTCCGCCTCCATCCTCCATCCTGGCTGCTCTTCCTTCTCGCCCTCATCTCTCCTCTCCTCCGCTACGGGCTCGAGCCGCGCCCCCCTGGACAGGGGCGTCGCGCCGGAGAGCAAGGCTCGACCCAAACAGTGTTTTCCGTCTTCGTTTCGTTTCCGTTTTGCCTTCCTTCTGTCATTGTTTCGTTTTTGTTTTGTTCTCGCGTTCCCTTCGTTCCGTCTCCGTTTCGTTTTGTTTGCCCTCGATCTGTCTTCGTTCCGTCTTGGCTGCACAACGCAATCAAAGCGAAAACGGTACATGGAAGCGCTCAAACACCGTTCAGGTCGAGCCTTGCCGCAGGGACCCCCCCGCGCGCCTCCCAGCAATGGGGGACGATCCGGAGTGGGTGCTGGTGGCAGAAGGCGACCGCCTTGGCGTCGTGGTCGTCTTCGTGGTCGTCGTTGTCGTTCTCGTCGTATGAAGGAGGAGGAGGAAGAAGAGGGGGAGGAGGAGGTGGAGGTGGACCAGTGTAAACACAAGACGCACCAACGATGTTGCAATAAACCCTCGCTCAACGTTCCCTCGTCATAAGGCCTCACGATAATTTTTCTTCATGGTAGGAGGTGCCCCATTGGCAGACAGCCGTCTGAAGCCCCTCAATCTTACCGAAACGCCATCCCTGGGACTTCGGCGCCGCGTTTTGACTATCCTAAACCGTGCCAGAACACCATTCCTGGGAGTTCAACGCCGCGAAGCAACCTGATTTTATGTCCCCTCGCAATCCTCACTCGTGCCAGAACGCCGTTCTTGGGACGTCAACCACGCGAACCCCTGAACGTGTTAATGCGAAGGTGTGCGTCGCTAGTGCGAGAGGCACTTTTTCAAAAGGACCAGTTCTCCATGCTTTAAGCTGCTGCAAACTGCCACTTCCGCCACATTTGGAACGCCACTTGTCTTCCGTCCTTAGAAATGCTGCAGTGCAAACGTTCAAGGCGAATGTGGGCGGCGCCAAGGCGAGAGCATTTTTTTGAAAATGTGCCGCCTTCCATCCGTGAAGTACTTGCACGCTTGTTGCAGAAACGAGAAACGCGCGTGGCGCGGGGGCGAGAGCCACCTCTTGACCCCCATCCGCCAATCTGTTGCACATTTCAAGCTTGACGGTTGCAAATGGTGCGGAAGTTTCAGAAAGCGTCTGGTTCGCCCTACCGATTCGTCTGAGGGGTGCGACATGGTTGAGTTATGTGTGAGGAAAAAGGCTGGCGAAAGAGGATGAGGAGGTGGAGGAGGAGTAGGAGGGGGAGGTTAAGGAAGAAAAGGACAACAGTGGGGGAAGGAGGAGGAGGAGGGAAAACATGAGGAGGGGGAGGGGGAGGATGAAAAGGGCGGTGGACCAGGGTAAACCCAAGAGTCAGCAACGATGTTTTAAACCCTCCCTCCAACCCCCTTGTCCAACGGCCCCTACAAGGATTCATTTCGACTGAGTGAAGTGGCCCGTTGGGAGACAACCGTTCGAGGACGCCGAAGAGTGCCGAAACACCATTCTCGGGACTCCGACGCCACGAATCAACGTGACTATTGCGTCTTGACGGCCCTGAGTCGTGCCAGAACACCATTCCTGGAAGTTCACCGCGAATCAACGTAACTGTTGCGCCCTGGTAATCCTGAGTCGTCCTTAAAGCACTAGTTCTGGTACGTCGACCATCGGATCCCGTGGACATCTGGCAAACGTTGAAAACGAACGTGCGCGGAGGTCAGGCGAACGCCACGTTTTGAAAACGAACCGCTTTCAACATGTGAACCCCCCCCGCTTGTTTAGGAGAAGTGTGCGCGGCGCTTTTGGCGAGAACCACATTTTTGAAAAAAGGCCCGCCTTCCATCCGCAAAACACTCGCAGTGCTGTTGCGACGAATGTGCGCGGCGCGACGGCGAGAGCCACATCAAAATAATTTGTGGTCCGCCCTCATCAATGAGTCTCTTAGTTGATTTAGTCATCACCGTTGCGTTGCCGCCGCATCGCCACCGCTCCGCTGCCTGACGACAGTGCCCGCCGAAGCTGTTTCGGCTGCGATAACGAAAGAGCGCCCCGATCCGTCGCGCGCGCGCGCCCTGCGGGCGCCCTCCTCGGCCGGTCGGTCTCGTCCGTCTACCGTGGCCTTCTATCATCAGCGGCGCACTCGCTTTAGCAATGGCGGGAAGAAGTGCGTCTCTTATCAGTCGCGTGAACTGAGCAAGAAACGACTACAGGACAGAGATCATCGAGAAGAACACGAATACGTTTTGCCGTGTAATCGGTTTGCGAAAGTTTCGCCCATGACGGATAGCCTGCAAAACACCGGCTACCCGTCGGAATTGCATTTAGAGGGAGAAGCTCTGCTAGTCTTTCCGGTGGACGATGTACGTAAGACAGAAGACCAACGCCACGGCTTAACCACGAGCATTCTTGGGGTTATTTCTTGCGACCATGTCGGGGGACAGAGCCCGCGCGCCAATCCGAAAGATCAGCTCTGGCATGTCTTTCGGCGATGAGCGCCGCCCAGATACTCCGAGGGTCAGCGACGACGAGGGGTCCGACTGGTGCGAGCGCGGTGAGCAGATGCCGGCACCAATTGCCGGCCACCCTGACGTCGCCATGAGCCCCTCGGAGGACGAGCAGGACCTGGGGTCTATCTCAGCAGATGAACATTTCTCCTTCAATTCGGCGCCCAGACCGCTCGCCTACGGGGGTGCTGACCTGCCGCCGGGAGGGGAAACTGGGGCCCATGTCGTCAGTTATCCCGCCCCCCTGGTCGACGAACCATCCGGTGCGCCCGCGCCCTTCGCCGACTGCGAGGAGGCTGCGCCCCCCCCCCGACGACTCCCCTGGGCGGGGTCTCGAGGACGCCATTGGGCGCTAGCCCGCGGGCGGCCCAGCCAGAACCTCTACCGAGCAGAGGCGCCACGCGGTCAGGCTCTCAATGGCGCCTCCGCTCATCGATCGGAGAGGTCCTGACGGCGCGCCAGAGAATGGGCCCGCGCGCGCCCCGGGGGGGGGGGCCTGGCAGCTGTGGGGCGGGGCCTTCCCCGCCCGCCATTCAGCCAGACTCTCGGCTTTCGACCCCCGCGCCCGAGACCCCCGGCCCGCGCGCTCGCTCTCCCCGCAAGAGGAGCTCGGAAAGAGGCAGGCCATGGGCGTCGCGACTGCGATCGGACGCGTCCGACCTTTCGATTCTCTCAGGCCGGTCGAGAAGCGCTGGCCAACGCAAGAAGCCCGCGCTTGCCTCGGCGACCTGAATTTCATGCGCCATGCGCGCCATGCTGCCTCGCGCAACTGCGCGGGAGTGCGCGCGAACGAGCGGCGCGAGGCCGAGGGGGGAAAGAGGCTCGAGATCGCAGTGGCCCCAGAGCGAGACGTAGCCGAGATGCGTGAGCAACGCGGGCGATCAGAAATCCAGTCACGGGCTGCCGCCGCTATCCAGGTGGCGCGGGGCCGAGAGGAAAGGGTGCGCGCCGTGAGGCTCCCTGAGGAACGCCGACGCGCTGGGGCCGCCGAGTGGGCCCTGGCGGCGACGTCCGAGATGCGCGAGCTCGCCGGCCGGCTGGAGGTCACTGCTGCATCCGCGCGCCATGCGCAACTTCAAGAGAAACGCCTCGCAGAGGAAGCCGGGCGCGTCGTCCGGGGGGCTGGCGAGGCTCAGCGCGCGGTCCAGGGGCCCCATGTGCCAGGAGATCGGAGTGGGCGTCTAGCGGCAGAGGCAGCCGCTGCCGCCGAGCAACCTGAGTCAGACCGCGCCGCTGACGAGGTCGCGGCCCGCCAGGCAGCGAAGGAGAAGTCAGCCGCTGAGGGGCGAGCGCGGGGCGCAGTGCTTCGTGCGCAGTCCCGGGCGAAGGTCGGCGTTCAAGAGGCGAATGCGAGCCGTGCTCGCTCCGGCGCCGAAGTCCGATACGTTTTGGAATAGGCGCAGCAAATCGAGGTGTGCGCCGAAGAGGAAGTCGTCGCCAACGCCAGAAATCGGATCAGAAGGCCGCGCGTAGAATTTGAGCACCCCAGGGGTGGGCATCGCGAGGCGCTTCTCACGCGTCTGTGGGCGAGTTGCAGGGAAGTCTCAGGCGGGCCCGCCCTCCCTTCCGGGCCCGCCCCCGCCGCGCGCGCGCTTTTCGGGCGCCGTCTTCGGCCGGCCGGGTCTCGACTGTCTATCGTTGCCCTAGCTTGACGGCTCACTCACTTCAGCAATGGCGGGGGGAAGTGCGCCCCCCCTATCAGTCGCGTGAACCTGGGCAAGCAGCTGCAGCAGTGATAATATCATCAAGAACACGAATGCGCTTTGCCGTATAGTCGGGTTGCGAAAATTCTCTCCAGACGGAGAACTGGCAAACCAATCTCTTGCATCAGTTGAATACGAATGTGCGCGGAAGTCAGGCGATCGCCACATTTTGAAGTCGAGCCGCTCTCAACCGGTGAACCCCTTGCAACTGTCGAAGACGAATGCGCGCGGCGTTGTGGCGAGGGCCGCATTGAAACACGGCCCGCCCGAAGTTTAAAGACGAATGTGCGCGGCGCCGAGGCGCGAACCACATTTTGAAAACAGTTCGCCCTCCATCCTCGAAGTTCTGACAAATGTTTACGACGCATGCGCGCGGCGCCGAGGCGAGAACCGCATTTTGACACTGTTCCGCTTTCATCCGCGAAGTTCCGTTCGATCCAACTCCCCCTATTGTACCCTCTGTGCTCAACCTCGGCCCAAATGGATCTTGCGCGCGCGGGAGCTCTTGGGGCTGATGGGCGAGCTGATGTTGGGGCCGGGCGCCGACCGCCTGCGGCGTGTCCTAGAGATCTGCCCGTCTGTTTGACCTCTTGTTCGTCCGATTCGCCCTCCCTATCCTTCTCCACTCCCCGCCCTTCCTCGTCCCTACCTTCCGCCGTCCTTTTCCGCTCCGTTCCCTCCCTTCCCTTCCCTTCTTCTCGTCGTTCCCTCACTTCCTTGCCCCTCCTCTGTGATTCCATCTTCCCCCTGTCTTCCCTTCTTTTTCGGGAGGGAGAACGTGTATCAAAAACGCGCTGCCGGTGATACCCCGTCAGCGTGTTACTCTTTCGTGGTTGTCGGAAAACCACATGTTTCTTCAATTGTAGCACGCTGATGGGTTCACCGCATTGGCGTGTCATTGGTTATGTTGTTTTTTTTCTCCCTCTGCCTCGTACGTTCAGCCTCTGCTGAGTTTCTGGGGCCTGGACCTCGGCCGTACCTTCCCCACCCCTTCCCCTCTCCTCCTTCCTTGCCCGTGTGCCTGTGGGTCGGCTCGTCCCGCGTAAGTTGATGTGACCTTCTCTTGCCTCTACCCTTGTTCCACGACCTTCCCCTCGTCCTCTTTCTCTCATCCTCGCCCCCCTTCCGCGTTCCACGATCGTGTTCCACGTTCTCCTCGCCTTTTTCCTACTCGTCGCCCCCCCTTTCCCCTCCCTCTCCCATTCTCCTTCCTCCTCCTCCTCCTTCCTCGTCCCTCCAGACCGTCACATCGGGAGCCTCTTCCACCGCGTCAGGGGGCGCCCAGCTAATCATTCAATACCCTCGCCCACCATCAGTGAGATGTGTACAGGCAGGGCAAGGACCCAGGCCGACTCACAGCAGTCTGATTGAAAAGGCTTGACACGAACAGCGTGGACCAGAGTTTCAGCACCACCGAAGGAGTCTGATATCTTTATGCGCTCGCACGGCACCTTCACGGACAATGAAGAGTACATCGTCGGAACAGGTGATGCGTCAGGTTGGAAATACTCTGGCCAGGCACGGTTTCGTCCACCCTCTTGGGTGTGTATTTTTTTCGAGGCTTTCGACACTGGTGACCCCAATTCAGATCTCAGGACCGTTCGGGTCTCCACAGGTGCTAGGATGGGTGTTCATATTAGAACCTCAGGGAGTTGTTCGCTTTCCTGAGGCTCATGAGAGATGCTCTGTCTGGACGTCCTTGGTTATTCGTCACTGTTTCGTTGCTCGTGCAGCGTAACGTGGCCAAACTATTGCTCTATGCTTTTCCAAACGATATCGGGAACATTGGCGTCTAGCCCATACTCTTCTCAGAGCGAAGCCTGCCACTATCCTCAACATCGAGTCCGACATGAGCCCTACGGGGGCCCTCGAGAGAGGCGATTGTCTCTTCGGTTGGGTTGGGACTCGGATTGCTGGCAGAGACCGTCAAGCGCATCCAGATGGATGTGGGGTTTCTCGAGGCGGTCCAGCATGGTGGAGTCTTTCATTCGAGCCGTGGGAATTCTGGCTTTTGCTAGTTTTTGTTAGTTTCCCGCTCGGAGGCCTCAGGAGGCCTACCACCCCGCCCCTGAGCGAACTTGAAAGCTCAGGCCAATAAGGTTGTGGCCCCTGTTTTTGAGCCCCGCCCGAAATGAGCCAGGCAGTTGCGATATAGCGGTTGTGCAGTACGACTCGCGTAGGAGAAACAGGCCCAAACTGGCGTTGGATCTATAGCGGTTGCCGTTTCTCCGGAATTTGGTTTGCCAGGGGTGTTTGTTCACCCCCATTGTGCAGGCGGAACCGCGTGCTGGGAACGAGGGGGCCGTTCAGCTTCAAAACATTTTCATCGGTGCCCTTGTCGTGGGCTCCTCCCACGATCTGGCCCTTTCTTCCAAACGGAATGTCGCGTGTGTGATTGCGGAGCCCACGCCACCCTCAGCGCATATGATATCTTGAAATAGTGCAAGAAAGCGACTCCCCTGTGGGCCGCTTACCTCGATAAGTGCGTGACGGGGAAAGCGTCGTTGCCTCCCCCTGCCTCCCTGAATTGAGGGCAGGCTCGGCTGTTTTTCAGCAGACCAATGGTCATCCGCGTTTCCTTCTCGTTTCCCCTCCCTCCCGGCAGTATCAGGGACCGTCTAGGCAAGCTTTGGTCCTTGGACAGGTTTTTTTCCAGAGTGTTTGGTGGGGTAGGTGGAGCTGGGGCGCGGTCGTGGCCGATGAGCAGAGTCGCCAGCCGTTCGGCGAGGAATGGTTTGGCCCGATCTGCGCCCGCCCTTCCCAGGCCTTGTTGTCTTGCAAGACCTCGAACGGCTGGACCAGCCACCGCACAGCGTCTTGAAGAAAGGGCCCCTTGCCAACAAATCCTGGTGCCAAGCTGGATTGTGCGAGAAATGCGAAGATGCCTGTCCCGACTGCCTCCACTGCGGGAAACGCGGCGCCCTCTTCCACCAGCGTCTTTCTTGTCCCTGCTTGGCGGCCTGGCGACGTGAAGGAATACCGCCAGAGATTCTCGTTGCGTCTCGTTTCGCGTCTCGCTTCCCAAGTCGGGCCCAGGATCTCTTTGCTCGGGGACTTTCGCTGAACCCTCCTCCTGGTTCCCCCGCAGGGCTTCTGGCCCCACCTCATGCTACTTCCATCGCCCGAATTGGCTCCACGACGGGTTGCATGTGGGCGAGGGCGGGCACGTGTTTCCTGATGGGTCGGCTTCCGAGGGCCACATCACTCGTCTTGGGGTGGCAGGATGGGCGGTGGTGGTGACGGGCGGCCCGACGTCACGATCGGGAGGGGGCCCAGCTGTTTCGCAGGTCAGGGGAGGACCGCCTCGTCACCCAAGGTTGCCGTGAATCTGTCCACGGGATCTCGAAGTTCTCGGCCAGGCAAGAGGTGCACATAGGCGATGCCGCCTCGCCTGGCCCCGCCCCCCCCTTGATTGGCTCAGGTCCATCACTCTGGAGTGCCCGCCCCTCGCAAGGGAATTGCGATGAGGGGACGGCTGGGGCGGCGGAGGGCGCGGGAGCTTCGTCGGTCATCGGGGGGGGGGGAGGCATGGGCTCGGCGGCGGCCGCTGCGAGAGCAGGTGGCCGTGAGAGATCGGCCAGCGGGCCTCCTCCAGAGCCGATCGAGGAGGCTTGGGCGAGCCTCGAGGCCCTGGAGAGCCCGAGGCCACGCGTGCCTCGAGGCCCCCCGGTGTCGTCCCGTCCCCCACGGGAGCCACCCTCGGGATTCCAGTTTTTTTGCACCACATGTGGTTCGGTCGGTTACCCTGGGAGCTCCTGGGGTCGCAGTGCTCTCGCGTCGGATTGTTCGGGTCGTCGGTCTGCCGGCCGAACGCGGCAATTGGATTGGATTGTGCGCGGTGAGCGCCTTTCCAGTTGCGACGGGCGGGTAGGGTCGGCCACCACCCCGTCGGATGCGTCTCGGGACCTCGTGGTCTCCAAGCTCGGCCTTGACGAGGTTCCTCTCTGGATTCTGCCCCCTGTTTGGTGCCAGGAGTCGACCTCGTCCGCGGGTTCGCGATGTCCGGATTCCCCTCTCCCGCGCTCCGGATAAAGAGCTGTGGGAGCGGGTACTTGCTAAGAGGAAGCGCGTAACCCATTGACCCCGACGAATCGGGGGACGAGTTCTGATTGTTCGACTGCACATGCGAATTGGGTGGCCCCCTGTCAGCTGGTGCTGCACTCCCCTCTCCCTCCCGTCTCTCGTCCTCCCCCCTCTTCGGGGTGAGGCGGACCTCGCCCGTGGTGCCCCCTCTTGCGCCTGTGTGGCAGTGGCTCTCTCGCCCAGGAGCGACCTCAGGCGGTCGCCTCGCCCACCCGTCTGTTGTATCGTTGGGTAGCTGTGCGTTGATGTTCGAAAGCGTCCCCTCCTCCCTCCTCCCTCGTCCCCTCCTCCTCCCTCCTCCCTCGCCCCCTCCTCCCTCGCCCCCTCACTCGCCTCCTCCTCCCTCGCCCCCTCCCTCCTCCCTCGCCCCCTCCTCCCCCCTCCTGCCGCTGCTCCTCTCGGCCGAGGCCAGGGCATCGCGTTCAGCGAGCCGGCCGCGAGCGCCCCCGAGGGCCTGGTGCCGCCGTGGCTGGTGGGGCCCTCGGCCGCCCCTCCGCCGGGCGTCCTGCGAGCTGTGCCACCATCGCCGCCGCCGCCGCCGTCATCGTCGTCGTCATCGTCGTCGTCGTCGTCGTCGGCGGCGGCGGCGGCGGGGCGGGATCGTCGGCGGGATCGTCGCGGTCGTCATTGTTGCCGTGGTCGCCGTCGTTGTCACCGTGGTCCCGGTCGTCGTCGTCGGCTTTGTCATCGTTGTCCCAGGACCGAAGTTTGGAGTATTCTGGGCTTCTGGAGGCCCGAGAAGGCCTCTGTGCGGAGACCACCTTCCCCGACCGTCCCTCTCTATCCTTACTCCTCCCTCCTCCTCCTCCTCCGCCTCCTCCTTCTCTCGTCCCTCCTGCTCCCTCCTCCCTCCCTCCTCCCTCCCTCCCTCCTCCCTCCTCCTCCTACTGCTCCTCGTCCTACTCCTCCTCCTTCCTTCTAAGACAGTGGCCTCCCTCCTCCTCCTCCCTCCTCTTTCTCCTGCCTCCCTCCTCCTCCCTCCTCCTCCTCCTCCTCCTATCTCTTCTGCTCCTGCCTCTGTGGAGGCAGGCCACCGTCCCAACCCTCCTCCCTGCTCCCTCCTTTGTCCTGCTCCTCCCTTCCTCCTCCCTGCTCTCTCCTGCTCCTTGTCCCTCCTCCCTTGGCTGCGACGCTGACGGGATGGCCTAGTGAGAAGCCCGTGTTGTGTTTGCGCGCGCTGCTTTGCGGAGCGGACGGGCGATCGGACAAAAAAGAGCGTGACGGGAATTGGAGGACAAGGAGAATGAGGAGCAGACAGAGAAGCAGAACGAGGAGCAGGAGGAGGGGGAGCAGGAGGAGGATGAGGAGGAGGAGGGGGAAGGCGGAGAAGGAGGAGGGATACGAATAGGAGGAGGAGGAGGAGGAGGAGGAGGAGGAGGAGGAGGAGGAGGACGAGGAGGACGAGGAGGGCGATGAGGAGGAGAAGGGGGATGAAGAGGTGGTGGGAGAGTGAGGAGGGGGAGGAGGAGGGGAGGAAGGAGTGGTAGAGGATAGGGTGATCAGATGTTTCAGAAAACAGTGTTTGCACATTCAAGGTCAGTGTGCACTGGTGGGTGATCATTGGCTGTCCGCGTCCTCTCCTGCCTCCTGCCCTCCCCCTCTCCAAAATATTGCGCGCTGAAAAAACATTCAAAGTCAGTGTGGCTTGATCAGCGGTGCTGGGTGGACGGATGTCGGGCTGCGAGCAGTCAGCAGCACATTACAGTTGGGTTGTAGAATGCACATAATGTGTTGCGAAGCGCGGTTCGGCTTTGTTCTTCCGCATGAAGAGCACTCCTTGCAGCCATGTTTGGTTAGTACATCCTTTGTTGTGTTGCGGCCTGGTCACACCGCTAACCACCAACAATGTCCGCACGTCCTCTGACAAGCACACGTCACATGGAACTTTGTATGCGTCTACCACGTCCAATGCGCAAGGATTGCATATGACCGATTCGTTGGACATCGACGGAACATCATGTGAGTATAATGGTTCTTGATGGGTGCAGTTGTGCAGGCCCATGCAGGCAGCGCGGGCGATCGTACGTAGGAGGGAAGCGGAGTTCGGTCATCGCCGCAGTTTCACGGTGCAGCGTGTGCATACTGTTGACATAGCGGGCGGGGCGGCGGAGACCCCTAGATGGTCTGGAGGGGGCCCGAGGGACGAGCTTGAGACGAGGGAGGACGCAGAGCGAAGACCTTCCGCCCATGCGTCAACCTGCCAACCTGGGGTGTCTGAAAGGCGTTCAGTTTACGGACACGTGTCGCGCTGTCGCGTCTATTGTCATGCTGGTCTCTTCTCTGTCTGAAACTGGGTTGCGCACCGAATCTGCATCCGAGTTGTATACACGATACACTTCGACGACGATCCGAGGCTTCGCAACGGTTGCAACGCGGCCAAGCTGCGCTCATACGCCACCCTCGGCGTAGTTGAGGTGCAGCACCACCTGCAGTTGAGCTGACGAGCCACCACAAGATAATACATCAATGATCGGATTCGCGGAGCAAGGTTTACCACACCATCCTCAACGGATGGCAGCACCATTGCGTGCCCAGCCCCGTTGTTATTGCATCGCCGAGGTATACGCCGCAACTTGCAGCTGCACCCCTGCCGCATGATGCTTGGCGCGGCCCTGCGCCCCCCTGGCGGCGGGTAGCTCCGTCCGAGGCGTATACCACCCACCCCGTGTCAAAGTCGGCTCGCTCCACGCCTCTCCGAACGTGTAAGCTCATGGGGTCCGCCTACCAACCATACATCATCGCTGAGGCGCCGCACGTGGCTGATCCTGTCGTCGTAAGTGAAGAGCTGATGCCCTTGCAGCAGTAAACGTCGGCCTCAGTCCCAAGACCCATGTCCAGGAAGTGACGCCATAGTCCAGCCAGGGGGCCGAGAGGGGCCACGAGGGCCCGACAGAACATCCGCAATTCGAAACGCACCGCGCTAAAAGCGAAGCTTGAACGGCCAGAGGGGCCGATCGAGCCCAGCGAACGACCAAGATCATACGAGTGGGCCCCTCAGGTACTCTTCACAGATCACCAGCGGTGCAGAGAACACCGTGGATTGGCCTCGCCACAGCAGGGGAAGCGGCGACAGCGCTCACTGGGTCGACATGCAGATGAACCACGATCGTGATCGTGATCGCGTTGTTCCAGCATTCAACTTAGGCATGTACAGCATCGTGCAGTGGTATTCAAGAGTCGCTGCAGCCACGCCATGGTCAGTAGTGCGTCATCATGGGTACGGCCTTCAGCATGGCCCTCAGAAAGACGGCAAGAGGCGGCGGTGGAGGAGAAGGGGCGCGGCGGGGTGGGGTGGGGGGTGCGGACGTGCAAGGGGAGAGAGATGCACGTGTCGACTGAGGAAGCAGCCGTCGAAGGCGGCATCGTGTTCTACGACCCCGACGGCAACGAGGTGGTCGTGCCTTCGGACCAGGTCCTCGCTGTCGAACCACTCCGTCGTCGACCGTGGGCCGTCGTTGCCGCGAACGGGCCGCGGCGGCTCTCGGGGCGGTGCATCGGCGACCCGCTCCCCCCCGCCTCTGCCTCCGCTTCCCACCTCCGCCCCCTCCCTCGCTTCCCCTCTCACCCCCCTCCCCTGTCCCCCTCCCCTGCCCCCTTCTCCGCGTGCCCCCTCGCCTTCCCCCCCCCCTCCCCCTTCCCCCCTTCCTCTCCCTCCCCCCTCCGCACCCTTTGCCACATCGTCGTCCACCATCTATATTTTTTTTTTTTATATATATATATATATATTCATTTGGACACTACTTACTACTCTTCTCCCTCTCTCTCTCTATCTCTCTCCTGAAGCTGTCCAGAAGATGTTCCACCCTTTCGGCGTATTTTTTACGTGGGATGGGACACACGTGATGCTTCTTGGGTATCAATGTGCAATCCGATTGTATTCGATGTTTCTGAACGGGGTTCCCGCTGCAGTGTGGACCTCACTTTCGGATCGGCATTTTGCTCCCGTCGTTCCGTTTGGGCGCTCTCGCCCCAGCGCGGGTCACTTTTTTGGATCCGAGTCTTGCCTCACCGTTGTCGCCCCCCTTCCTTTCCCCTCCCCCCTTTCTGCTGATCCTCCTGCTCCTCCCGCTCCTTCCATCCCAGTTCACGCTGCTGCTCTTCGTCATTGCTCTCCTCCTCCTCCTCCTGTCTCTCTTGGGTCCTCGTTGGGGCCCGCTTGCGGCCCCTGGGGCTCCCGTGGTTGATGGGTCCATGGTCCGTGGATCCTCGCAGCTTCCACCAGTACGGAGTGAAGGTCCCTGTGCTGGACCTGGCCCAAATTATTCGCCTGCATGGTTTGGTTTCGCCCGGTTCGGTGGTCGACTGGGCTCGGACAGTGCAGGACTGCCGAGCACGAGAGGTGCCTCGGCCATTGGAGGGGGGCTAGCCGTCCTCTCTGCCGTTGCGGCGGCAGGCGGACTCCCCGCCCAGTTTCCATTCCATTCCATTCCCCTCCTCCCTCATCCTCCCTTCCTCCTGCTCAACTCCTCCGTTGCGATTGCGCATAACTCCATTGGGTATTTTTGTGATTCCAGGTCGGTATGGCACGCGTCCGCGGACACGGAAAACATCAGCGCAATGGGAAGGGATGGGTAGGATGTCTGATATGGCGCGAGCTCACCTTGCTTGCCCTCGTCTGCCTCCTCCTACCCTCATTATTATTATCCTCCTTCTCCTCCTTCTCCTCCCCTCTTCTTCCTTCTCCCTTTGTTATCCTCCTTGGTCCTCCCACTCTCCCCCCCTCCCCCCTTCAACTTCACTTTTCACTCTCTTCCTCTTCCTGTCTTTCCTCCCATTTGCTCCGCTTTCCACTCGTCGTGGGTTGAGGCGGGTTCCCGCTGACCGCTTTGTGCGCGCCGCGCCACGGCGCCGACGGTGCCGTCGATCTGAGCTCCTCTTTGGACGATGGCTGCCTCGCGGGCGACGCGCCGGCCGTCGCGCGCCTCCTCCACCTGCTCGTGGCCAACCTCGCCGCGATGGGCCTCCAGCTGAGCAGCGGCCCTGGCAACTGTGAGGTGGTCCCCACTGGCGGAGACGCCTCCAACTTGTTTCTGGACGGCTTCCGCCAGGCTTCCGCCCCCGCACCGATCGCAGCTTCGAGCTGCTCGGCGCGCCAGTGGGGGTCGCGGACTTTTGCGCGGAGCGCATGAACCAGCGGGTCACGAGTGCCGCCGCGCTGCTGGAAGACCCGGGGCACTTCGAAAACGCGCAGGTAGCGCTGCATCTCCTGCGCCAGCGTGCATCATTTTGCAAGCTGTGCAGCTCCGAGCGCGCGTGCATACTTTTGCAAGCTGTGCAGCTCCGAGCGCGCGGTGCCGCCCACAGCGCGCGCCGCTCCTTGATGGCCATGGGCGACGCTGTCCGGGCCTGCCTTGCGCAACTGAGCGGTTGCTCGCCCTCCACCGCCGCTTCTTGGCAGCAGGCTCAGCTCAAACTCGACAGTGGAGGACTCGGCCTGCGCTTCGCCGCAAAACGCGCTGCCGCATACATCGCTTCCCGAGCGAAAGGCACGGACCTCTGTCGACAGCTCTACCCTGGCTTTTCCAACGGCGCTGACCGCGACGGGGGAAGCCTGGCGGCTGCGGTGCAGGCCCGCACCGCAATCATGCGGGACGCCTGCCGGGTGGTGTTCGACCGCGCGCAGCACAGCGGCCAGAAAGCCCTTTTCCGACGAGGTGGACAGCGCCGCGCTCGACGGGCCTTGGCGGGTGCCACCCTGACTGGCAGGGCGCGCCTCTCCCTGGTGCAGGCCCTGGGTGGTGCCGCGTGGCTCCAGGCGCCGCCTTTGGAGGCCACCGGCGCAGCCTTCCCGCGCGGCCTCATGAAGGTCGGCCTGCAGAGGCGGCTGCGAGTCCAGCCCCTGCAACAGGAGTGTTTTTGCCCAGCCGGTGGCCAGGTGATGGGCGTCTTCTGCGACCACGCTTTGGTTTGCGCCTGCCGCGGCGACCGGGCCAGAGACCACAACGCCCTGCGTGACCCCGCCTTGATCGACGCCCTGGCCGTTGGCCACGCCGGGGCGGAATTGGATCGCGCGGGGTTGCTACCCCCGCGCCTCGCCGGGGAGGCCACCCCGAATGACGAGCAGGGCGAGTCCCAGGCGGACGACGCTGGCCGCGCCCCTGCCGACGTCTACTTTCCACGGTGGCGCAACGGCACGGCGGTTGCCTGGGACTTTGCCGTCAAGTCTGGGTTGCGCGCCGATCTCGCCGCCGCGTCGGCCGCTTCGTCGAGCGCGTCGGCGGAACGACGCGAAGAGTTCAAAAAGCAACGCCGGGCGCCAGCACACGGTTTCACCTTCCCCCCCGCGGTGGGGGAAGCCCACGGCGGCGGGCGGGGCCGCGAGGCACGCGGCGCTTTCGGGGTCCCAGCCGAGCGGGTGGCTGAGGCCACGGGGAAACGCCACAGTGGACGCGGACCAACACGCCCAGCGATTTTCTCTCTCCGTGCGCACGTGCGGGCGGCGTCGCGGCGCCTCCAGACGCAGTCTGCCTGGGGTTGGGTGGCAGCGGCCCATCTTGCCGCGGCCACGTCTGCCTCCGCGGCGGACGCAGTCTGGTGTTGGGCAGCACGGGCCCCCGCCTCGCCCTTCCGCCAGCGTCGCGCTGGCGGCTCCTCGCCCCTCCATTCACGCAAGCCGTCCGGCCCTTCCCTGGCGGGGCGGTCGGTGATCCCGCAGATGGCCCACCCCACCAAGCCGCAGCGCGTTGGGCTCGATTGGCCACCCCGCGCCGTTCGCCGACGACCCCGACGGCCTTCCCCGACGACTGCTAACGACCCCCCCCCCGACGCCCAGTCCGAGGCTTCGTCGCGGGTGGCCCTTCGCTCCCGGCCTCTGGCCGGGCCTGTCTGCTTGCGGTTGCTTCCCCTCCTCCTTTCCTTGCCTCTCTTTCCTCCTGCTCCCTGCTTGCTGTCTCCGCCTGGCCTCTCTTCTGCCTGCCCGCCCGTCCGTCCGTCCCTGGCCTCCCGCCTGCGCGTTCGTCGTCGTTCCTGCTTCTTCCCTCGCCTTCCCCCCCGCTGGGCAGCACAGGCTGCAAGGGACCAGCGTGGCGGCGCGGAGGGTTCCATTCACGATTGTGCCATACGACGGAAACCCAGCAGGAACAAGGTGAGAGCCGAGCCGGTCCAGGTCGACGAAATCATGACAGTGAGGAAAACGCAAATGTTCGAAGCTTTCAGAGATCAGCTTCCCTTCCGATTTAGACAAGCACGCGGGATACACGCAGGCGGTCTTGGATGCGTGCGGCGAGAAGTCAGGATCTAGGGCACGATGCTTCGCATATTGAACAGATCCTTGATCATATGGCTTCGGACTTGGTGTCGTTTTCTTCCAAGTGTCCGGTGGCCCGCTGCCCGTCCCGCCGCCGTTCCAAGGTCGTGGACAAAAGGCTTATTAGAGTCTTATTTGGGTTTGGGAGGGGGGTCCTCGCGGGGGCATCTTGGAGGCATGTTTTCGGCCTCCAAGAGCCTCTTGAGGTCTTTTGGGTTCGCCTTGGGGGCCCATGGGGGCCTCTTGGGGGCCTGATGGTGGTCTCGGGGGTCATCAGTGGGTGAAAGGCCTGAGACCTGAGTTTGGGTTCCCCGTCTTGGTCCTTATTGGCGCCTCCGGGGTCGTCGTGGTGCATTCTCGGGCCGCCATGGGGTAATATTCTGAGGTTCTCGGGTCGTCATGGAGTTTTGGACGCCCGAAAAGGCGTATTTGAGCGGTTGTCATTGCTCCAAATCCGAAGGTGAGTCTATGATTTTGGACTAAGGTCCGTCTCGAGCTTCCTCTTGGGGCCCTTGTGTGGACCTCGTCGGTTGTCTTCAATAGTCTCGTAACGCTTTTTGGCTGTTTGGGGGCCCTCCTGGACCTGGACCTTCTTAGCCCCTCTTGGCGCGCTTTCTGTCCTGTGTGAAAGTTTCGCGAGAACTCGCGATACTCCTTTGGAAGCTGGCTGTAAGGCCCAAGACATCCTGTCTTCGGGGCTCTCGGCCCTTTGACGTGTATGAGAAATATTCCATGTTGAGGGTCGAGGGCTCCTGACCTGATGACACTCCACTTCGTGCCTCGAGGCACGGTGGCGGCTATGCATTTTGAGGCTCGTGACGACGACGTGCGAATGCTTGTGAAGTGTGACGTCGAGCAGTTCGTCGGGGCCGCCGCCGCCTTCCTCTTGAGCTGGGTGCCGCCGTCGAAAGGACTCTTGGCTCGGCGTCACCCCAACATACTAGTACTATGTGTGCGTCGCCCCCCCCCCAGGGGCGACGTGCGCACAGATCAATCTTCTAGTGTAGGCGTCGTGGCGGGCGTTTTTGTGGCCACACCGCTCGGGATATTATATACTACAAGATCGGTATACTATATGTTCGGGTCGGACACGCGCCTCTAAGGAGGACATGTAGTATTAGTACGTCTCTGTTCGTCCCATTGGCGAATATCCAGCTCGGCGGCATCCTTCTTGGAGCCGAGGCCCGCGAAGCGCCCGAGCGCCGCCGCAGTGTGGGCGAGGATATCCAGATTATCCAGATTGCACACGATGAGATTATCCAGGATATCCAGATTATCCAGGATATCCAGATTATCCAGGATATCCAGATTATCCAGAATATCCAGATTATCCAGTGTGGGCGAGGATATCCAGATTATCCAGATATCCAGATTATCCGCGATGCACTCGCAATAGGTGACGAGGAGTTGGAAGGATTGCAAGCTGCTACTGTGTAGCGGTGGTGCGGTTGGCGGTGAACGTCCTGAGTTAGGCCCCTCAGGGCATGAAACCCGGGGCGACCTTGGTCTACATGGATGGCTAGTGGACGGCGCTAGCAGTGTTCGCTGCGTTCCAGTCCACGCGAGGACAGCGTATGCAGGCTATTTGTTCGATGTGCTGCCCGCCTTTTACTTCTTGTGCATACAGCGTGCTATTCATTACTTCTGCGAAGTGCTCGTGTGGCCATGGCGAGTGCGACTTCACCTTCCTCTAATTCCTTCTCCCTCTCCCTCCCCTGCTGCTGCCGCAGTACCTTTTCCTCCCTAGCATCCTCCCTCCTCGCCGTCTTCATCCTCCCCTCTGTCACCTCCCGCCCACCTCTACATTCACCGGCCCGTTTTCCTCGGTATCACCGTCTTCGTCCTTCATGTCCTCCTCCTCTGTTCCCCTTCTTCATCTCCCCCTCCCCATCTTCTTTACCCTTCTCCCACCCTTCCCTGTTCCCCTTCCCCCTCCTTTTCTTTTCCCTTCCCTGTCCCCCTTCTTCTTCCTCCTGCTCCTGTTCCTATCCCTCACTCCCTTCGCCCTTCCCCATCCGCCCCCGCTTCCTCCTCGTGCTCCCTGTTCTTTGCTCCTTTGCTTCCGCCTTCTTGCGCTGCGGCCGCGCCCGTGCTTGCATCGACCATCTCGCTTCTCCGCGTGAACTCAGGCTCTGATACAACGAAGCATGCGTTGATCGTCCATAGATCGTCTCGCACGCGCGGTCTCCGCACTTCTCCCCCCCTTCCGCCCTGCAGGAGAAAGAGTAGTAATAGCAGGGTCTGGAGGACGAGGAGGATGTGGAGGAGGGCGGCGACGATGAAGACGAAGAGAACGGAGACGACCGGATGGGCGAGCGGGCGGGCGGACCAGCGAGCGGACGGGCCGCCGGGCATGCGAGGTCGGCGCTTTTCAGCAGGGCCTGGAGAGCGTGCGGGAGTTCGAGCACTCACTGGCCAGCCAGGACGGGCGGTGCCGAGGGAGAGCGCCGAGGGAGGGCAGCGAAGAGGATGATGGTGTTGATGACGATGATGATGATGATGATGATGATGATGATGATGATGATGATGATGCTGATGCTGATGCTGATGCTGATGATGATGATGATGATGATGATGATGATGATGATGACGATGATGATGATGATGATGATGATGATGATGATGATGATGACGATGCTAATGATGATGATGATGATGACGATGCTGATGCTGATGCCCATGATGATGACGGCGATGATGATGGTGATGACGTTGAGGATGATGCTGGTGGTACATATGATACAGATGATGCAGATGCAGATGATGGTCATGGTGGTGGTGATGGTGATTGTGATGCTGGTGATGGTGATGGTGATGGTGATGGTGATGGCGATGGAACTGTGAGAAGTGTCGATGTTGACCAGGCAGGTTACCGATAACTGTAACCGCCGCCCCAGCCACCCCTTGGTGAGTGCGCTTTCAAATGGCCACGGCAGCGCCGCGTGATCCGTGGCCTGTCTGCCTCGGCCACAGCCTTTTGCAGCGAACGTGTCGGGTGAACCGCCTAAGCGGAGGCCCAGGCTGGTCCACGCCGCCGCAGGGCACCATGCCTCGCAGCGGGCACTGGAGGCGTTACTCGCGCACGTTCGCGAGGAGGGGGTCCCTGAGCTACGCTTGTACGCGGAGCGGCGTGGCGAATCAGAAACGCCGCAGCTTCGGTCCGTTTCTCCAGAAGATCATCGCCCCACTGTCTAGGGACAAGAAGTTCGACCTATGGGTGCAGCAACCGTTGGCTATGCTGCAGATTACGTGCGATTCAAGCCCTGGATTCAGAGAGAGGTTCACGAGGGCCGTCGACGACGCAAATTGCAACTTGAAGGTAGCTCTTTTTAACGACGCGGTTGATCCTGGCAAAGAGCTTGCCGCCAGACATGCGCGGAACATTGAGCTTGTGTATTGGACGTTCGTCTATTTTGATTTCCCCGCGCTCTCAAACCATAACGGCTGGTTCGTATTATTTGCTTGCAGGTCTGATTCCCGCGCCGAGGTGGACTGTAGCATGCCGCACTTGCTGAAGGAGTCGCTGCGCTTATTTTTCGGCAGGCCAAGCAGCGCTGATTTGCGCGATGGCGTGTGCTGACCATCGGCGCGACGTGGTCGCGACTTGTTTTCGATCGGGTGCACGTCGTGAATAACGACGAGCTCGCCCACAGAGGCATTACGCGGGCCAAGAGAGCCAGCGGTTTCAAGATGTGCTCTCTGTGCGTCAACGTGCGTGATCACAGGTGCAGGGGCCCCGGCGGCACAATGGTGCCCAACGCGTCGCTGGACACTGATGACAGGTTCGTCCTCCACGCAGTCGAACAAATTGTCAGGGCTCTTACAGTTATCCAGGACAGTCGTTCCAAGGTTTGTTGTCGACGGCGGCGGCGCGGGGAGGGGCGGGCGTGGAAAAAAGGGGAGGAGGAGGGCGGATGGCATCTTCAACGCTGAGTGCGGCGCCCTGATGCAGCTACTATGAAATGATAGACTGGGAGCGCCGACCTTGCGCGTGCACTTGCAGAACCGGCGGTGGCCAGGAGGGTACGCCAAGGTCCGCGACATATGCAAGGGCGGTTCAGACGCAGGCTCGAGCCCACAACGCGCTTCTCTTGTTCCAGTGCTGGAGAAATACTTGGTCGACGTCGTGATGGCGAAGAACCTTTGGCTAGGCACGTGCCGTTCCATGTTGTTGCTTCTAGAGGTTCTGGCGCTTTTGCAGCGCTGCCACAGTGGCAACAAGCCGTCGCCAGAACAGATGCGCGCAGCACTCGTGGCGCGCTTGAATCAGCAGCAAGCGGTGTATGGCGCGACGTTGTGGCTGCCGAGAATTCATTTTGCCACGCACCTGCCATATTACCCTCGCACGCGCTGTAAGCTGCTCAACTCGCTCGTTCTAGAGCGCAAGCAGAAACGCTTGAAACAGGACCTCAACGATCGATGCACCGATAAGTCTATGAACGCAGTTTGATGCAAAACCTCGCCATCAGACAGCTTGAGGCCCTGTCGCACCCTTTTGCGCCGAGCACGCTGGCAAAGTCCAGCGACGCAAACAAGCATATCGCGTCTCTGCTGGCTGCCGCACTGGGCGCCGAGGCATTTGGGGCGAACATTCGCCATGCTGCCACATGTTCCGTCCGCAATCGCGCAATTAAGCTGCGCGACCTTGTGTGCTACGACGTCGACTGGGGCAGCTTGGCGGCTGGACAAGTTCAGTCTGTCTGCGCTGTGAATGACGCAATGTATTTGTGCGTCCATTTCTTGAAGTTTCGCGATTCTTGGGGGCGCGCTACGTCGTTCAGGATACACTGTTGCTCCTCGAAGCAAGTCTAGTTCACGAAAGCATGATCGTCTACGATGCTTGTCTTGGCGGGGTGTCGCAGGTATTGAATCCGCCGCGCGATCGTCGCCGTGATTTTTCCTACGCACTGCAACGCCCGACGACAACATCAGTCAGTTTTCCGTCACCGTCGTAACTGCACGTAATTGCATTGTCAATCGCCTGTGGTTCTTTTTAATCATGGGTGAGCGCGCGACAGCGCGAATCGCGCACCTTGATATCGGCGCTCGACGGCGACCTCTCTTGACCGACATGTGCGTCAGTTTTTTCAACGCATGCCGTTCAACGCAGCGCAGGCGCAATGAAAACATCACACACCTGATATATATATATGTATATATATACATATATATGTAGATATACATTAAATGTGTTGTAAGGTAGCTTGCGTATTATCATGTTTTACACCTAAAACAACTTCGACACAACACACAACATTGAAACCGTTGTAACTAATATGAAAACATTTGGCAACCCTATATAATCAGAAGACATCTATTCAAGTTCATTAAGTTCCCGATCTGCTTAGCGAAGTTCCCCAACCTACTTAGCGCCAACGCCTCAAGCGACTTACGATATAGATGGGATGTTGGGTCGCAATCTACTTAACTCGCGAATCTTGAACTCATTTAGAACTGCACCTATAGATGCTGTTCTCAACACGCCAGTGTAGCTGAAGTGCTTCATAAGCGAGCGGGCCGCTCAGCGGGGCGATGTTGCGAGGATGTCTCGAGCGAGGGCGCCGGATGGGGACACGCCCAGCGCAGCGCCCGAAATGGTCTTTGGGGGTGCGCTGGGGGCCCGTGGGGCGATGTTGCGAGGATGTCTCGAGCGAGAGCGCTGGGTTGGGACACGCCCAGTGCAGCGCCGGAAATGGTGCCTGGGGGTGCGCTGGGACATGAGCTTCTTGCGTGCCGGGGGTCCGAACGACGTGAGATCCGAAGAGAAACGGAGACGCCAAGCGGTTCACCACTTCCGTGCACGGGGTTGGAAGTTCGACCGATGGAACGAAATCGAGAATAACATCGTTCAAGTGATATCGGGACGCTGAGATTGATTGTCCAAACTCGATAGGGACATTGACCGCTGAGGTCGACAGAGGGAGATTGACGGGGCGACTCACAGTGAGATCAGCATCGGTATTGATACAACCAGGCTTTGCCAGGCGAATTCACTTGGTATCGCGATCGCCATGACCATTTTTTGTTGTTTCTCTCGCAAGCGTCGCCAGTGTGTTAGCCTTCTGCCAGCATACATTGTTAGCCCTCTGCCATCATACATTGTCGTCAGCATCGTCGGCTTGCATCGTCACCAACTCAAGAGCCTATCACCAGCATCGCCACCATCACAATCATCGCATTTGTGGTCAGTTCGTTCTCCCCCCCAACCTCCTTATCACCCGAAGGGTAGTCGGATAGGTCGTGAGACCGATTGATTGCGATATTGACCTATTGATAGGGTGACCGAACGTGAGATCAATCTTCAAATCCAGAACCAGATATTGGACCGATCCTGAAAATGCGGTCGATGATCGTGAGACCGATACAGAGATAGTGAGACCGATATTGAGATCGATCGACTGATATTGAGATCGATGGTGAGATCGATAGTGAGATCCGTAAAACGGAATGCCCCCAGCGGAACGGGGTCAAATGAGGTTGTGCATTTTAGTTTGCCGGCAGTGGCCTGGGATTGTCCCGATGGTGTTCCGATGGTGACCCGATGGTATTTTGATGGTGTGCAGATAGTTTCCCGATTGTGTTTTGATGGTGTCCCGATGGTGTCCAGTCGGTATCCCGATTGGTGTCCCGATGGAATCCCGATGGTGTCCACACGGTGTCCACATGGTGCCCCGATAGCGCCCCGATGGTGTCCCGATCGGTGTCCAATAGTGTCCCGATGGTTTCCACATGGTGTCCCGCAGGTTTCCTCATTGTGTCTTGATGGTGTCCGATCGCAGTCATGCATTGTGACCAGCTTGCGAGCACTTTTGCCAGCATCGTCACAATTACAATCACCGCAGATTGTCATCAGGTAGTTCCAAACTGTTTATCACCTAGAGGGTGGCTGCATTGCTGTAATCAATATGATGACCATGCGCCGCCCATGGCAGGACGCGGCCTCGGGGCAGGTGATCACTGTCCCAGACAGCGCGCAGCGGCCGCGCACTCCGGAGGCCACGCTACGGCATTTGCCGCCGTCTTTGTTGTGGTCGTCGTGATCGTCGTCGGCGCCGTCCTTTTTGTCGGGAGGAGGTGGGAGGGAGAGGAGGGGGGGAGGGGGGATAAACCATCGAAGTGATGAGCAGGCGGGAGGAGAATCAGCTGGCCTTAGGAGGCGTGGGTCTCCGCCGTGGTGCCGAACAAGCGCCGTCTCCATCTCTCAAAGGCGAGCGGCAGCTGCTTGTCGGCCAGACGCCTCGGCGCCAGGCAGGAGAGAGACAGGAATCGTGCCTAGACGGCACACCGGTTGCAGATCGAGTACGTGTACAATCGCACTCCAGCTCCAGACGGGATTATGTACACATCTGCTCGGTCAACATCGAGCTTTCTAAACATCATCTGCGCTAGGCAGGGGTGCTCCTAAAGGGTCGGTGCCATGCACCGGGGGAACGCGCCAGCACCAATTCGCAGTGCGCTGGGACCGCGCTCTAGGAGGGATGGGGGAAGTGGCGGGAGAGGGAGGGGGTAGGTAGCGGCGGGAGAGGGAGGGGAAGGTAGGGGAGGGGGCGGGGGAAGGAGGAGTGGGAGGATACGAGTATCTGCGGCGCCCCTGGAGGTCCTCACAGGTCACCCCAGGCCTACGAAGGCCGCTTGTGGCCTCAGGATGTCTCCGGAGGCTGGGGGCAAAACGTGTCTGAATACGTGTTCGTTTTCTTCTGGATCTTCCGTGGACACGCAGGGGGTCATCGTTGATTTTTACATGATGCAGGGCCCAGGGACCTTGCGCCGTCCCAAACGGAATGGGTCCCATGGTTCCAACGCCCCCACCAGATGGGATACCAGGGGGACGGAGGCCAGCCTGGAGGCCTCGTGAGGCATCAACGCATGACTACATGACATCGTCACGGTATCGCTGCATTATTTTCAGAACTCTTCAGCGCATCCGTTGCAGTTTGTTGGTTCAAACGAACCACTCTTCGATTGAGCATCGTTTTAGGAACAAGGTTTACCCTGCATATCAGAGTCCTTCAGAGGCACTTTGGCCGGTCTTCTTGTGGAGGGCAGTGGCCATGGCTTCTCATCGTACATTGCACGTATCTGCTATCAAGCAGCATCCCACCCTTCCAGGAGAGAACGAACTGATCAAAATTGGATCTGAACACGCTCCAGTCTGCAACATTCCTAAATACAAGCTTGACACAGCAGATGACCAAATGATTGCCGAATCATTCAGAGAACAGAAGGTCTTGCAAATAACGCCTTCGCCGTGCAATCCCGACACGCTCAAGGCGGTGAAGTTCTGGACGCGTCCGGTCCACGAAGCGCCAGGCGGCGATGTCACTGTAAGTCAGTTCCTCTTGTCGCATGCTCTTTTCAGTGATCTTCGACAGCCATTCCGAGATCAGGGCGCGTTTCCTCAGTTGTCTCACTCGGCTATTGGAGGGGAAGAAGCCGCAGACGCATATATGGCAGAGTTGGCAAGGTGTTACAGTATGATCGGCGCAACGGTGAAGGAAATTGCTATGAAACTCTTCCCAGATGTTGTGCGTCATGAAGACCAGGCTGTTCTGTGGGACATCAAGTACCGCAACACACGTCAGGATGCGAGGAGGACGGCTGCAGGCCCCACGGGTATTGAGAATTTGTTCAACAAGTTGCATGTTGACGATTTTCCGCAAGGGAGCACACATGGCCAGAAATTGATTAACACACTTAGTGGTGCTGTAGACAGTATCAGAAAGGGAACATGGGCCGGCAAAGCCACACCGAGGGATGGCATAAGGAAGATGATCGAGAACAAAGATACTGTTAAGATGAGTTTCAACGTTTGGATGCTTCTCAGCGAGAGTGACGAAGCCTCGCCGCTTGTGTTTGCAGACCCTGATGGTTGTGACATGGTTGATGCTGACTACGCCACTGGAGATGGCCAGCTTGCGAAGCTCAAAGGCGAGCCCCTCAACATATACATGAGTGAATGTATGAACAAGGGCGATTTCTTTATGTGGCTCTCGTGGTCCTTGATCGCAAGCAAGTCGCCTCCTCACGCTGGTGCACGGCATGAACAGACTGCCAGCGGAGTCCCGCGTGAGTCGGTCGATTTGCGTTATGCAATTGTTGCACCGTGAGCGGTGACAGTGCTGAGGTGTTGTATGGACATATTCTTCCTCCCCCTGCTCGCCCCCTTCCCCTGCTCCCCCCCCTCCTCCATCTTGGTCCTCGCACCCCCCAGCGGACAGCGGATGCGTTTGGCAGCGACCAGCGGCGCTCGGCGAGGGCCTTGGAGCCGTTGGCGTTCGCCCCGATCGGCCCGAGCGGCGCTCGGCGAGGGCCCTGGAGTCGTTGTGTCCGCCCCGATCGGCCAGAGCGTTTGCTTGTCTGCATAACGCAAGACTCATCCATGCATCCCTGCATGAAGCGCCAGTGCTCCAAATCATCAAAACATTGGCAAGACATACCTATCCCCCCCTCTTCTCCTCTCGTTTCCTCGCCCCCTCCTCCACCCCCGCCCCTCGCACCACGCCCAAGGGGAGGGGGAACACCGGCGCCAGACTGTGCACCCCCACACACCCCGCCGCGAACCCATCATCTGGCAGCGGGGAGGGTAGGCTGCGCCCTGCGTGACACATACCCTCCTCCTCCTCCTCCTCCTCCTCCTCCTCCTCCTCCTCCTCCTCCTGACGAAGTAGATGTCACAGCCTGGCTAGTTCGTGTAAGGGCCAGCCAAGCGTTGGCGAGAGTCGCAGAAGTCGATCCCTGGGAGGCGGACTGGGCCCCAGTCTCTCGCCGTCAACGCACCTCCAGACAGAAACGTGCCCTGGAGGAGTCTGACCATAGGTTTAAGGACTGTGGAAGGAGGTGGAGGTGTCAGGTTTGCGGGGAGGTCGTGACGAAGGTCGGCCTCATCCAGGCCTGCGCCCGCCACTGCCGCCGCCGCGCTCCTCTCCCGCCTGCCACACCGAACATGGCTGGGATCAACATCACGCGTCTTGCGGGGGAGTCTTGGGTTGGTTCGCATCGTGTTGACCCCAGCCATGATTTGTATGAGCTCCCATCCATGAGTCTAAAGTTTGGTATGTTATGCGGTTGCTCTGCTACAGTGGATGGGAGGCACCTTGCCAGGCCTTGTCCCCCCAGGAGGTACAAGAAGGGGCTTCAGAAGTTGCAGAGAATCGCTTCTGGACGACACCCGTGCCCTCAAGGGCCGCCTTTGGTGTCGAGGGCTGCCGCTGCAGCCGCTGCCGCTCCGCCACTCGACAGGGGCGAGGTCCCTTGAGGCGAACTCCTGGCGAACTCACCAAGCGCTCCCGAGGTTCCCACGAGAGCCCTTGAAACTAGGGGCCAAAACTAAAACCACGGGAGAGCACCCATCAGGACGACCTTTTTGTCATCTCCGACCGGGGGCGACATCCAGTCGGAGGGCCCGCGAAAGTGTGCTCTCCACGTGGGGGTCGCGGGCCTAAGCCCTGACCTCTTCTATCCAAATCGCCAGGGCGCCAAGGCTCGGTGAGGAGAAACCACTCTCTCCCCTGCTTGTACTTGCCCAGCTCAAGGCCTCGCAAAACACGATTGCCCCAAATGGTGGGGGCGGGCGGGCACGGTTCTCGGAACTGCTTAAAAATAGAGACTCTGCCCGCACCACACTGGGCACACATCGCGCCCCGCCTTCCCGCCCGCGAGAGTGAAGGGAAAGGCACGATGGGTGGCGTGACCCTCTCTCTGCAGCACAGTGATCGCAATATCAGCCCGACTTTCAGCCGACGAGGTCACGGGGGGAGGAGGGATAACCTGCAAAGGCGGAACGTCAGACGACTTCTTGGCACGAATCGTGGGGGCATGCGTGCAATCAACATCGGCCATCTTGCAACAGATGCGCCCGACCCAGGTGGCGAGAAACGAGAGCACCTTAGCCTGCGAGCGGTACAAAGAAAGGTAACGCTCGGACAGACGAGTGAAGGCGGCGGCTTCTTTGGCCGTCTTGTCAGCCAACCGATTGCCCTCACGTTGCCGAAGAGTGATGCGCCCTAGATCAATGTCGGCGGCAGTGGTGTGAGCCTTGATTTTGTGCAACCGAAGAGACTCAACACCCCCACGATCCTCCATGGCAGCTTGACACTGGCGGGGACCTCGCTTGTGAGGCACTGGGGAGAGCGAGCCTGAGTGCGCGGAGGAAAGCCCAGAGCTCGACAGCGCCGATGTCATACAGACCTGCGGGCAGCCCTCCAGCGAACACGGCGGCTGAGACAGGCCGATCATCCTGAAGGGCAACGATGGCCCATCCCAAACTTTGCGCCTCGGGAGGCAGGTCCCCGTCCAGGAGGCTCCCGTCGAGGAACAGGTCCCCGTCCAGGAGCCCAGGATGCCCTTTCAGGTTCGGTGCATATGCCTCCCTGGCCAAGCTGGGAGGCGCATGCCCACACATCCAGCTGCTCCAATTTTTCCGATGCGTGGGTCCCAGAGGTCTGGACCGCTTCCGCCAGGACAGTCCTTTTATCCTGAGTCGGTTTTTGATGGTCTCAGGGCCCGGTGAGGGCCCCTGGAGGCCGAAAACAGCAAAACACGACCTCCCCAACTTTTTGTGGAGCGTCGGATCTCTGGGTACACCGCTCCTTGCTTAATGGTCGGCTTGGCCAGGGTTGGGGCGCACGCGCGGCTCGTGTCCCCCCGGGGCAGAACAGTGGAGCTCCTTTCCCCCTCCCTCCGCCCGCACCCCACCGAGGCCCGCCCCGGGGCGGCGCCTGCCGCGAACGGGTGCGCCAGCCGCGCTGGCTGCGCGCCGGCGGCCGTGGCCGCCTCCGCGGAGGAGGAGCGTCGGAGGTTGTTGAAGGTGCCCCTGGCCCGGGGCAGCCCTTTGGCACCTTTTGGCACCTTGCTGAAGGTTCTCTCTACCTTTTGGCACCCCTGGGTCCCCCCTGGGCCTCGTGAGAGGTGCTCTGGAGGCCGCCCGCGCGGACTCCTTCGAGACCTCTCGGGGGTTGCGAAGTGAGCACCTCTCGCCACTTTCGTCGGCTCCCAGGAGGCACGGCGGAGATGAGAGCAGCACAGATCGTGCGTATCGGGCGATGTGATCTTTTGTATGGAGCGTTTATACATTTACTCGCCTCGTGTGGAGAGCAGGCTGGGTACGTCTCGGGTATGTTTTGTTCCCAGCTATCCTGTGAGGTCCTCGTTTTGAAGAGACAGCGCCCCGCGTCCTCTCTCCTCTCGCCTCGCCTCGCCTCGCCTCTCCTCTCCTTTCCTCTTCTCTCCTCTCCTTTCCTCCCCTCTCCTCTCCTCTCCTCTCCTCTCCTCTCCTCTCTCTCCTCTCCTCTCCTCTCCTCTCCTCTCCTCTCCTCTCCTCTCCTCCTCCTCTCCTCCTTGTCTCCCTCCTTCCACTCATCCCTCCGCCCTCACGGGGAGGTGGAAGAAATGGGCGGCGAGTTCGGTGCAGAGAGGTGGTCGTGCAGCCCACGCTTTTTCCCGTGACGTTCGGGCCGATCGAACCAGCCAACCTTCATTGCCGTCGACGAGGTCGACGTGCCAGCGAACGGGGACGAGGCCGTCCAGGCCATGATCGACCAGTGGCTGCCCCTTTGGTTCAGCGCAGGTGCGGCGATGGCCATCCATCACGTTGGGACATCCATGGCCAGGGGCTTCCCAGGACTGCTGGTCGTGTTCACAAGGTACTCGGCAAGCGCTGGCTTGGGGTAGGACAGTTTTCATCCAGGCCTGGTCCTGAGGCCTCGAGAAGAGTACCAGCTATGAATCCTGGTCATCCTCCATGGGCTCGACAAGGCTCCCGAGGTGCTTTCAAACCTCCTCACTGAAATTAGCTTCTTGGACAAGTCAGAGGGCGACTGGGCCCCTGACCTGTTTCATGAAGGTATGGTCGACATGCCACCAGCCCGTTTGTCGCCAATGGGAGGCAGATCATCCGGCGTCTTTTCTTCAAGGGCGCGAATCCACCTGCGATCGCGCAGGATGGGTACACTATGCTAGCGCACTTCAGCCACTGCATCGGACCGTTGGCGCCGTCGGTGATGTGTCAGACAAAATTCAGTTACACGAGCATGTTACCCACATCGATCTGTATCGTGCGGTTGCCGAGCAATGGTTCTGGTGTTGACGAGGGTTGGTTGTTGTGTATGCTGCTGAGAGCATTATGCGCTACAGCGGGGGCGTTTCGGGAGTATTAAGATACAGCGGGATTGTTATTGCGGGGTGCTCGGCGGCGACGACGTTGGCGCGACTGTTGCTGTTCAGCCTTTTGCGCACTGCCCAGGTCAAGAGGCCACAGCTGGCGGCCCGAAGCGTTATCGATGATATCGCGCTGCAGGTGGGTGGCCCCGTCGTCGGTCGTGGCGACGCAGCTGCCTGGCGGTATCCGCGAATTGTTGGACAGTTTCGAGCAGCTCGTGCTGCCAGTCTTCAACATGTAAACTTACTTTTGCAGTGACTCGGAGCTGGACCAGGAGTTCCTGCAGGCTTCGGATCTTCCCCCAAGCAATCGGGTTGAATCCACGCGTTACCTGGGTACGGACGCCACCATGGGCGCTTTCGGGGGAGTCGCGATCATCACGGCCCGATGGAGCGAGGCTCAAGTGAGGTCCATGATGATTCGCCAGCTGAGGGGGCAGAAGACCGGTTCAACAGACGACCGGCTCAACAGGGACCCGTTCAACAGACGGTTGGTTCAATTGACAACAGTCCAACAGACGACACGTTCAGCAAAACCTGGTTCAACGAAGATGGGTTCAACAGGACCGGTTCCGCAGAACTGGTTCCGCGGAGTTGGTTCCACAGGACCAGTTCCACAGGACCGGTTCCACAGAATTGCAGGTTTGGTTTCGCAGGCCAGTTCCGCAGGCCGGGTTTTGCAGGACCGGTTCCACAGGACCAGATCGGTCTTCTGGCGCTCCAGACAGTCCAGGCACTCTGTGTACTCGCGGTGCTCCGGGCCAGGCATTCGAGCCGGGTGCTCCGGCACACGCCCGCCCACCAGACCCGAACCGCCCGTTAGGGTACTCGCGTGTCAACGCGATCATGCTTCATTTTTTAATGTCCCGCCCGCCCGACCCGACCCGCCCGCCCGACCCGACGTCCCGCCTGTTAGGGTCTGCCCGACCAGTCCCGCCCGTTAGGGCAGTCACGCGCCAAATCGATGATGCATCATACTTTAATGTCCCGCCCGCCCGACCCGATCCGACCCGCCCGACCCGACCCGTCCCGCCCGTTAGCGTGTGCCAGCCCGCCCGATCTCACCCGCCCGCTAAGGCATTCGCGTGCCAATTCGATGATGCATCATACTTTCATGTCCTGCCTGCCCGACCAGACCCGACCCGCTCGTCAGGGTCCACTTCCGACAGGACCCGTCCCGCCCGTCAGGGTCCGCCCGCCCGCTGGACCCGTCCCGCCCGTTAGGGTAATCGCGTGCCAATCCGACGATGCTTTATTTTTCAATGTCCCGCCCGCCCGAATCGACCCGCCCTCCCGTTGGGGCCCGCCCGCCAGAACTGACCCATCCCGTCCGTCAGGGCCCGCCCGACCCGTCCCGCCCGCTAGGGCATTCGCGTGCCAACTCGATGATGCATCATACTTTCATGTCCCGTCCCTCCTCCTTCTCCCGTCCCTCTTTGTTCCCTCCTCCTCACTCCTCCTCCCTCTTCCCTTTCCGTCCCCCTTGTCTCCTCCCTTTTCCTGCCCCCCTCCTCCCTCCTCCCTTCCCCTTCCGTCCCCCCTCGTCGCTCCCGTTTGATACGTCTTCATTTTTTTACTCAAGACTGGGGCCTTCGTTTCCGCATCGCCTCCTGGGGGGCTTCCAAGAGTCCCTGTTGAACCTTAATTATTGAATAATTGTCATTTTTGGAGAGCATAGATAATGTGGAGGAGGAGGAGGAGGAAAAGAAGGAGGACGGATGACTTCCAGGGACTCCAAGGATCGAGGGTCGAAGAATTGACTTCAGGGATGATTTGAGAGGGTGTGGAGGGGCAGGTGGAGGATGCGAGCGTGGGAGCGGCAGCGCCGGGGGGCGTGAACGTTCAGGGTCGCGCGCCGAGACCGCAGGATGGTGGCGTAACATCCCGGACAAGGATTTATAACCACCTCGTCCTCGGAAGTACTGAAAACTACAACTGCTCCTCCTTCCTCCCCCTCCTCTTCCTCCTCATCCCTCCTCCTCCTCCTCCTCTCCCTCCTCCTCTCCCTCTTCCTCTCCCTCATCTTCCCATCCCTCCTCGTCTTCTTCTCCCTCCTCCTCCGAAATGCGTGGCGTGCGCGAGGCGATTGCGATGCCGATTTACCGCCCGAGCTGTGGATGTCGAACTTCCTCGGGAGAGGCGGTGGCGACACAGTCTCGGGCGGGAGATTTGGGCGAGGGAATGTCAGGGCCCGCGCGCCAGAAACGCCCCCCCATGACGCGGTGTGATGTCCAGAAGGATGCATGTGACATGTGGAAGCGCGGCGCACGTTGGTAAACTGATTTTTGTTGGGGTGGGGTCGACGGTTCGCGGTCGCCCCGCCGATCAGCGCTGCCGCTGGCCAGGCCGACGGTCCGCGGCCGCCCCGCCGCTTGCCAGGGCCCGGCCTGCAGGGGAGAAAGGTACACCCCCAAAAAGGGGTTCGATCGAAGACGAAGAGGGCGGGTATCGAGGGTTTGGGAAATACGCGTTATTGGACACTCGAGCGCATAAGGGCGGCCAGTCTTAAAATCATTGTTGTTGTTGTCGTTGTTGTTGTCGTTGTTGTTGTCACTTCTGAAGAATAGTTATTGCTGGTCGCCGCTGGTCGCCCTTCGCTGGAGCGCGTTTTTGGTCAATCAAAATGCGCCCCCCCGACGCTCGCACCCTGTCTGTGATAGCGGGGGTCTTCCCGCTCAAAGTGTGCCCCCGGCCCCCCGGATTACAGCACCAACGGCCTCTTGCTGGAGATTTTCCCTAAATTCATTCAGGGCCCCCGCTCCCGTCTGAGACGTCTTTGCAAGTTACTCAGGATCGGTGTTCCCGGCTATGACCCCATCGCAATTTAGTCAGGACCCCCGGTCCCATCTGAAACATTCCCACAAGTATTTTCTCATGAACGGTCGCTTGCGACGTCCATGCGATTTATTCAGAACTCGCGATTTCGACGCTCAGGAAACACGCTGCGCCAAAGACGCCGTCAAAGTTTACTTAAGCATTGAGCGTTCGCCATGCTCAAGCATCCCGCTTGAACGCCCCACCCGCCCGACCCGCCCGTCAGGGGGTCGCCCGCCAATCGTGGGTTCCCGCCCGAGATTTGTTTCAGGAACGGCGCTTTCGCTTAGGACTTCCTCGAACGTTAGCGCTCTTACCTTCCTGCTCCTCCCCCCCTCCCTCATCCCTCCCCCCTCCTCTCCTCCCTTCTTTCTCCCGCCTCTCTCCCATATTTTTATGTCTCTCTGCCCAATCCCCTCTCCCTCTTCTCCCTCCTCCCTTCTCCCTCCCCTCTCCTGCCTCCTCCATTTTTTTGTGTTCCCTCTTTTTTTGTTTTCTCTCTCCTTCTCCCTCTCTCTCACTCTTTTTCTACCCTCTCTCTGTTTTTCTCAGCCATTCTTATCTCTCTCCTTCTCTCTGCCTCTAATCAGCCGCCCCCCTCTTCGCTCCTTTTCTCCTGGCTTTTTCCCTCTTCCTTCGTTCCTCCCCCTCCCTTCACCCTGGTGTTCCTCGTTCTCCCCCTCTGAATTTTGCAGGGCCCACACCAACTACAATGGTGGGCGCATTTGTGCCAACGAAATGTTGTCCGCTCGTTCAGGTTTGCCCGCCCCCCACCCCCCGCAAGGAAAAATAATCCCCCCCCCAGCGAGGTTGTGA